CTGTGAGAGAGTTAAGTGGGCCCTGTATTAATTATAAAGAGCTAACTATTATATGGATAGGCTGAGAGAAAGCTACAAAGAATCTTATAGCCAACAGGTCAGCTTAGGCTTGCTCTTAACATGCCACCTGGTCTGAAAATTCCCGTGCCACAAAACGGGGACCTTGTGTCCCTTTTGGTCCCATGCATCGTCGTTCTTAACAAGCAAGATCACGTTTTGGTCCCCTTTCACTAATCATGGGAACTAACAATCCTGTTGATAAGATGTTCATTAGGCCACTGTTTATTCAGCACGGTTTCTATTTTATAGGTCCTTTTCCATGTTCTTGCATAGCCAAACTTAATTGATAAATGAGAATAGGCCATGTGCTAACACAGAGTTCTAAACAAGACAGCACGGAAACAAAGCCAGTTTAAGCGTGACAAGACATGGGAGAGAGCAGCACGTAACAACTTCTCCAATAATACCCCAGTCCTATTTTAAATACAGTTGTAGGTTGTGTCTAATATTTAATCATCTATCTTATTTGAAAAATTTATAAAAATATATTTTAAAAAAGTCACATATAAAATAATATTTATATTTTATCATCAAATAACAATAAAAATATTGATCATGAAAATATTTTAAATAAGATGAACAGTTAAAGGTAAAAAAACTCATTACTATATTTAAAATGGAATGAAGGGAGTAAAATCGACAAGACATGACACTACGATTGCCAACGTAACCGAGAGTCATCATGGACGCCTATCCATAATCAGACGAGGTTGTAGGTTGGTAGAAGTATACTAATACATCTGTCCTAAAATATAATAATTTTTTTGTTATGAATCTGGACATATAGTTATCTATATTTATAGCTAAAAATACTTATATTTTGAAATATATGGAGTATATGTTTGTTCAGAAAATGGCAGAGATATGTGTAAAACGACATTTCATATGAATGCACACTAAACGAGGGTCACTTTCTCGTAAACAAACTAATCTAGTATAGATGTTGAATCTCGATATCTCTCTATTCATATTGATAGTATAGTGTTAGGCTGTTAGCATATGTTATATTCAGTATTAGATTGAGTATTTTTAGTAGGGCTAACGCCGAAAATCAAACAAACCATTTGATGAACATTTTTTTTAATTCACAGTTGTTGTTCTACCTAAAAATATGTTTAAAATGAAACTTAATTGAAAGCTTCTTTGAGTTACAGTGTGCTGTACAGGTTGGAGTCGCATGCATGGCTAAACGGGAGAAGTTGACCGAGAGGGCAAACCGAGGTGTAGAGCCGTGAGCAGCTCAGCATCGATCTATGGTCGATCCAGTAGGATCGGTCGATCAAAATCGAAATGGATCTCATGAGATAGCTTTCTGACCGAAGCCGACACTTCTCTAGTCCCCAGAAAATAACACCTTTCGCCCACTCACACGACCTATGGTCTGGAATGATTATTGTTTCTATTATGAGAAAACTTTTTGTGAATTCTGACTTGAATTAATAAATAGTAACTCTATTGTATTTAGGGTTTTTTTTAGTAGTTTAGCAAAGCTACTAAAAGTTTTCTTTTGGTTTTGCACCAAAAATGATTAGAACGCGACATAAACATATCAGAATTGTCAAATGTTATGTAGCAAAAAGTAACTGTCCCATTCGTCTTGTTTTCACAAGTAACAGTGTGCTACTAAAACTGTAGTTTGGTTTGGCGCAAAAAAAAATTCTTTTTCTACTGAATTATCACAAAAATGTTAAGATCACGACATAGACAAATCGGAATTATCAAATGTTCTGTAGTAAAAATTGACCATACATAAAACTGTCCCATTGGAGCATTGGGACATCATGGACACGGTTCAAACATGTGGACAACACTAGCCCGTGCAACAGGAGCACCTAAACCGCAGACTCCGCTCACTCATCCTCCTAATCACCTCGGAAGTTTGGAAAGAGAGAAATACGTGAGTCTTCCAGCACATCACCACAACACCGATCATAATTATGGGTAATTTGGAACCATGTCATTATAAATTTTCAAAGTTTGAAATATGTCATTGGTATCTCAAAGACACATATGACCCACATGAGTCAATGACATATGGATTAGGATGGTATATCTTAAATTTTGCAAAATATAATGGTATGGTTACAATTTTCCCCATAATTATTGTAGCATAAACAAAAGAGGAGGCCAGAGCTTGGTGCCTAGTGAGGGCAAAAAAAAAAAAAAAAGCTTAAAGAGCTAATGTTGTTGTGAGAATAGTCCCCTATGTAACACCCCTTAACACTTGCACAAAACTAAACCTTCTTCTTTGTTAATGAAAGGAGACTGTCCTTCTACCCTCTTATTCAAAAGAAAAAAAAAACAGACTTTTTCAAAAGTAACAGTTCTTGGTACAAAGAGCGGACTTTTCTTCCCTAAAAACTTTTAGGCCCCGTTTAGTTCACGAGACGAAAAGTTTCAAAGAGTCAGATCGGATATACAAACACACATTCAAAGTATTAAACGTAGACTAATAACAGAACAATTTACAGATTCCGTCTGTAAACTGCGAGATGAATTTATTAAGCCTAATTAATCCGTCATTAGCAAATCTTTACTGTAGCACCACATTATCAAATCATGGAGCAATTAGGCTTAAAATATTTGTCTCGTAATTTACACACAATCTGTGTAATTAGTTTTTTTTCTATACTTAATACTCTATACATATGTCAAACATTAGATGTGACAGGGTGAAATTTTTTTTATTTACGAACTAAACAGGTCTTTACATAGTTTGAACACGGGTAGGGCTGTATTTAGTTCACACCGAGATTGGAATTTTTGTTGAAATTGGAACGATGTGATGAAAAAGTTGGAAGTTTATGTGTGTATGAAAGTTTTGATATAATATAAAAGTTGGAAGTTTAAAAAAATATTTTGAAACTAACCACGGCGTAGGTCGAGGTCGATATGGATCGTATCAATCGATCATGGCGGCAGGCACGAGCTAAGGTACGGTGGCCCATGCAAGGCAACCACTGGCAACAGGCAAGCAAAGCACGGCCGCCGCTAGCTCCAGCTCCATCCAACTCCAAGCAGCCTAGGGGCAACATTTTCTCCAACGCGACACACAACACACAAGTGGCGAGCTCGATCGTCGGCTGTCCATGCCGGTCAAAGGACATGCACAAGCTGCCATTGGTGGATGCATGGCCCGGGACCGACAGGCGACAGCTACATGCGTGCAAGTACCATGGCCATTTGCAGATTAATTCAATGCCCAAACCCTCTCTCGCTACCATCGTTTCACACTATTTCCAATGATCATTTATCCAGTTAATTGTCCTTGATCGCAACAAAATATAGTTCCTCCCTCCAGGTTGTAATACCCGTTGTTTCGGATAAAGACATGATTTAAAAAAAACAACTTTAATCATTATTTTTTATTATAATATGTATATAATTGTTAATAAATATATGATTTTATTAAAGTACTTTCTAATACTAATCTATGCATGTAGTCACCTGTCGGTGATATGGGCCCGGGAATATGCACAGTAAAGGAAAGTATCGATCCCATCTAGTCGCATAACCACGCGGCCTCGTCTCCCCACGCCCCACGGATAGCGCTAAGGTGGCCAGGGAGCCTCGGGGTGCCACATCACACCCCTCGGGCTTTCGGGACGCTCTACCCCGAGGCCCTCGACCAGCCACCACGTGGCGGGGAGAGCGGGCGAGGCAGAGGGCGCCTCTTAGGGCCTTTAATGCGCGGCACTCCAACCGTTCCTCACTGCATTTAATGCGGTGTGGGTGGACGTGCGGCGCCGCCCGATAGACCCATGTCAATCGGGCGTGACCGGTTTATGACCGGTCACGGGTGATTGGACGGGCGGTAGCGTCCCCACGTCCCACCCTGTGTCAGGCGGAGTGGGGGCAGGTATGCCCCGTCCTATCGATGCACTGCCAGGAGCGCCCTCCGCGCGTGGTGAGCCACCAAAGTCTCCATACATTTAAAGGGGAATGACAGGGATGTCCCCCGTGTCAGGCGGGGGACGGTGCTGGGCCCCACCCAAGGACGCACGACCACCTTGCTTTTGGTTGAAGGCATGAATGGCGGTCTGATCCAGACAGGGTGGGTCCCCCTCCCATGGGAGGGGTAGGTATAGACGGTGCATGTGGTATCCCCTTGAACTATAAAAGGAGAACCTCGCCCATCGAGAAAAGGGACGACTCTCGATTGCTTGAGCTCTAGAGGAATAACAGCTAGGTTTCCCTAGGAGCTCAAGATCTCTTGTAAGACCTAACCATAATCCCACACACAGGAGTAGGGTGTTACGCTTCCCAGCGGCCCGAACCTGTATAATCCCTTGTCTTCCACACAAACTCGTGAACGATCCAGTAGTTAGATCCCAAGCGGAAGTACGCTCTTGATCATCGCGCCATCTCCCCCGGCCGAACTCACAAAGGGAGGTCTCACGACCACCCGCTAGAGAGGATCACTCCTCGACATCACAATATTTGAAAGACAAATATTTTAAAAATGATTCATAATCAAAGATTCTAAAGTTTGACCTCACTTTTTGTCTAAAACGACAAGTATTATCTGCCCAGAAGGAGTATATAGCCTCGTAGCTTCGTTTATGTTTATAAAACTAAAATTCAAATTTATCTGTTTATAAAGCTAAATTTCAAGTTTACAAGATAAATTTTGAAGTTGATTTATGGAAAAAAGTTAATTACAGTTTAGTGTTTTATAACATGTGTTTTTCAATAGCTGAGAACACGTATATAAAAGTTTTACCGAGAAACAAAACAAATTATTTTGTTTGTTAATAAATAGTATGGATAACCATGTGAATAAGCAAGGAAATGAGGCTAATAAACACATGAAGAATTCTCACTATCTTACATATATAAGAAGATATATATATATATATATATATATATATATATATATATATATATATATATATATATATATATATATATATATAGTTTTTGGGAAGTGTACACATAGGTAGCGAGCAAACCTAATTAACCCCCATTACAGCAAGTACAAAATTGGTAGCCAATCTTTTGGGGTCCCTGCACAGGGGCCCCCACAAAGTCCGTGCCTACCTAGTCTTGTAACAGGGAGGAGTTTGCAAGCTTAGCTGGTTCTCTCCTCTCTCAAATCTCGTCAAAACACTGCTTGCCCTAAAGATGGTGACCCTAGCCAGCCAAAGGCCACACCATCATCCATCACCACAACCACACACACACTCTCTTTCTCTCTCTACAATGCTACTAATAATCATAAGGGGATTACAATTAAGATAGGTAATGAGAGCAACTAATTATATAATAGTAGGGGGAGGTGTTCATGATTATCTGTACTAGCGATCGAAACACGGTTTACGCGTACGTGACGATCTGATGATGATCACGCGAGAGGCGACCTGTGTGGGGCGCCCTTCCTCCTGTTGTTCAGTGACAGCACGATCTGGGGGAAGAACCCGCCGCCGCCGCCGCTCTTCTTCTTCCTCGGGACATCGGCCGTCGTTGGCGCCGGCGACGTGCTCCGGCCGTTGTTGCTGGAGCCGCCGCCGCCGTAGTACTGGTGGTGGTGGTGGTGGAGGGGGTCTTCGAGGATGGAGTTGGGTGTGGTCACCTGGTGGTCGTCGTCGTCGTCGGAGAGGCCGCCGCCGCCGCCGCCGCCGCCGTCGACGCGGAGGTTCTCGAAGCGCGGGAAGCCGGCGGCGAGGTCGGGCTCGCCGGAGGAGCCGCCGGACATGTAGAGGATGTTGGAGAGGTCGCCGCCCTGCATCATCACGTGATCCACCTGCATGCCAATGCATGCACAAATTAATTAACGACACACAGTCGTTGTAGTTAGTAGCTCACTCTCACATCTCTCGTGACAAAATTTTTCACCCGTCACATCGAACTCAAATGTTTGATACATACACAGAGTATTAAATATAGAAAAAAAAACTAATTACACAGATTACGTGAAAATTATGAGACAAATCTTTTAATACTAATTGCTCCATGATCCAACAATGTGGTACTACAATAAACATTTGCTAATAACAAATTAATTAGGCTTAATAAATTCGTCTCGCAGTTTACATGCACAATTTATAATTTGTTTTGTTATTAGTCTACGTTTGATACTTCAGATACATGTCCGTACATCTACGATGTGACACGCTAAAACTAGTCATCCTAGATCTAAACCCAACCTTATTATCATTAGAGTTGTGTGTCGTTAATTAATATTTCTCAATCGATCGCCAATTCGCCATGACAGTAAAAAAATTTTCTGGAAGATGTGTACAGTGGCTATACTACACTACTGTACCTTGCAAGAGAGGCAGCAGAAATGGAAGGGCTCCTGCAGGATCCTGTCACATGTCAAGCAGATGTTGCCAGAGCCCTTGAACGGCCTCGACTGAGGCCTTGGCTTCAGAAATATCACCTTTGCGCTGTTGATCGTGTATGGCTGAAATCAAATTAGAACCAACATTAATAATTAGCTCTACATAATAGTAAAACTGAACAGATTAGTTTCAGAGTTTTTATTGCCGTTCAATTTACCTGAACAAAGGAGCAGTCGATGAGCTTGTCGAGATCATCCAGGCGAACAACGTCGTTGTACACATACCTCCTAACCTATATACACGTATAAGCACTTCAATGCACAGTATACTTATACGTACGGTACCGTTTAATTCTAGTGCTAGTAAAAGAATCTTCGGACCCATCGTTTGCAAACAAAAAGTAATTTGTGAATATAACTTTTATATACGTGTTTTAGACAATATAAAAGTAAAGTTTGAAAAATAAACTTCGATGAAAAAACTCTCAAAATCAGCTCTAAATTTAAGGTTAAAAATTTAAATTTTAGCTGATAAGCATAGGCCATTATTCCATTATTCCATCCAAATTCAAATTTTAGATGAGACCCTTCTAGAAGTTGTAATTGTTGATGAGGTAAAAAAAAATTCCATTATTCCATCCGGACGCTGAGCCAGGCAGGGAAAGGATAGACTCCCCCGGTAATAATTGCGAGCCTTTGACCGGCGGCTCGTCGTCATCCACATCGTGGGAGGGAGAAACAAACCCTAATTTACCATACCACCCCTACACCTTCCACTTCTCTCGGTCACACAACCCGAGGTCACAAATGTAAAAAAAAAAACACCTCCAAATTAACCCCATGACACTGTAAAAAAAAGATAGAGAGTGTGTGTTACTGCCTGAACGAATGAACAGTATCGTCACGGCGACCTTGGATTATACAGAGCCGGAGCAACAGTATTGGGGCCTTGTTTGGTAGGAGGACAGGGTCTTTTACCAAGCACACATATGGTAAAAAAAAAAACAGAGACACTGCTCACTTTTTTTTTTACTGCATCTCGCCAATGGCTTCTCTGTGGTCTGTAGCCTGTAGTTTCTGTCACTGTGACTACTGCAGCTGCGATCTTAACAGCTCTGGCTTTGGCTGAGACGATGGATGGATCGTAGCTAGTATGGCTAGATAGACACAGGATTGCCCATCCATTTATCAACCAACCGGCACCGTCTATCTTTGCAGGGATAGAGATCAAGATCGGCATGCTTTGCTATTCATGGCTAAACAATCCGGATAACCCAACCCATTTTTGTGCTAATAGATCAATCTTGCTCACTGCTGCAGTTTGGATGTATTTAAGAATTAGAGCTTTTGTAGTTGCACCAGACTCTCTCTGGAAACACACAAATTTTATAAAAGTTTGACAAAAAGAAGTGGTTCATTTTATGTGGTGATCAGAAGTTTTTACTGGTTAATTATAATGGAGAGCAGGACACAAGGGCTATTGTTTGTTTACCGCTGTCAAAAAGAGAGATGGCCTTTTTTCATCAGAGGTGATGACTGTGTGTGCTGGCCTTTGCTGCTGCTGCTGCTGCTGCAAAATGTAACTTTTGCAGGTGGTGAGGTGAACAGAAGAGAAGAGAGAGCAATGCATTGCATATGCTTTGCACACCGGAATGGGGAAGATGTAAGATGGGACTAGGCTTAATTATAAGACTATGGTTATTTCAGGCGTATGGGACTGAGGCTCGCAGTAACTTCTTGCCAGAGAGAGACTCATTTTTCACCCTTCTTCCCAATTTTAACCACTCCACATTTCTACTACTCATGGCCCACCAAACAGCAGCCAAGGACAGGAAGAAAAATTAAGTTTGGCAAAGAAAAATACGCAAGAAATTAAGGTGGTGATTAGCAGTGTGAAAGTACTAATGTGTGATTTAGGTGACTAATCAGGGTGATTAACCGAGGGGTCACTTTGCAAGGAGCACAAAACGAAGGCCGGAAAACGACAAGGGGAAGACGAAAGATGGGCACAGGGTTCTAAAAGGGTCGAGAGCTATAGCTGCAAGTGGTTAAGTGAGACACCCCATGCGATGCAGCTTAAGCCCAAGCACCGCCGCAATTAAGCCCAACCAAATCTAACCAAATTATGCTAGAAATACTACTGCTACTAGTACTCCTAGTGGCACACTAGCATGGTCGCTGATGAGAGGCAATTAGCAATCTTTCCTCTGAAAATGACACAATTAGCATGTCATGGCACATGGAAGAATCAACAAGATCCTCTAGCTGCCCACATCTACTGGTACTAGTAGAAGCAAATCTTGGAATAAGCCAAGACGGAAAGGCTAGTGAATTAGGCCAAAGCTAGTGCTTTTTTGTTAAGTACAAGCTAGTAGCTGCTATACATGCAAAAGCTAAAATCCTAGCCCACACCCCCACAAATCCACTCAATTCAGCACACTGTAGCACACCCCCAACGATTTCAAAGCAGATAAATAAACTTGTAATTGAAGAATTTCAACAGACTAACACACTCTCACATCACATGCATAATCTGAAATTCTGAATACAGTTAAGATACTGCAATTAATTAACGAAGAAGATAGACATGCATCATATGATGCATGTAGCTAGAGATATATGCAGTGTATCGAGGACATGCATGGCATGGCAATTGGGTCGCCGGCGCCGGCGCCGGCGACGAAGACGGCGGATTGATTACCTGGAGGAGAGGGTGGTGGCGGTGGGAGGGGGCGCAGTGGGGGCAGATGCTGGCGCAGCAGCCGAGGCAGAAGATGTTCTTCTCGTTCTTCTTGCGGCTCTCGTGGGCGGGACACCCAACGAAGAAGCTCTCCTCCACGAGCCCCCCTACCCATCCAGGCCTCATCCCCATCAACCCCTTCGTCTTCCTCCAATCCTCCTCCCAATTCTCTCACTTTCTTGGCCACAGCTACCTAGCTACCAACAATCTCTCTCTGATTGAGTGTATGTACGTGCGTGCGTATGTATGTATGTACAGGTGAGAACAGAAATTAAAGATCGATGCGAGTTTGGAGAGGCGAGGAGAGGAGAATTGGGAGGGATTAGTGGTGGATAGCAATGGAGGAAGCCATGGCAGGGTATATATAGAGCGGGAGAAGGTGAAGGAGAAGGAGGAGGAGCTTGGTGTGGTGTGGGGCAATGGCGTCAAGGGGACACCATGGGGTTCGGCGGTCAAAGGACCAATTGGGCGTCACGGTCCAAGTGTCGGGGACCTTCTCGACAATATCCAACCAACTTGAGGGGTGTTTCTGAATTATCCTTGCTCCCATGGAAAATGATCGGTCTCTGCAAATTGATTCTTTGCTAATTTAAAAAGTACTAATAAGAAAATGGAATTTTGTAGTGCCGTTTGTACGGAAACAATGCTAGGCCGAGCGGAAATTTTCGTGACCGTTTTTGTCCCTCACAACTTTGTGTGCAGTCGGGCAGGATTAGAATAACAGCGTTATGGGGTGCTTTCTGCGAAGGGTTGTTTCGCTTTGCCAAGGGAGGAGGTTATTGCCACCTGCGATTCATGTCACGACTCGTGAGAGAATATAAATCATTTTTAAGTAAATTTCATAAAACTATAAATATTTTAATTAAATTTTAACAAAACTAGGGATATATCACAAAACTATAAATTTAACGGCAAATCTATCGTAACTTTAAGGCTAAGTATTGCAAAACTATAAATTTAATAATAAAATTATCACAAAACTACATATTTTAAGCTTTAGTTCCTTACCACTAATGTTATATTTGAGTTATGAATATCCAAATTTAGTGATTAAATTGACACTAAACATGTAGTTTCGTGATAATTTTGTTACTAAACCTGTAGTTTTGGGATACTCCAACTTAAATATGTAGTTCTGGGATAAATTTAGTGTTAAATCTGTAGTTTTATGATATATCATCTTAAATCTATAGGTTTTTTAATAACTTGACAAAAATATTTATAGTTTTGTGAAATTTACTCATCATTTTGTTTTGGGTAATTTAATACTTGTTCACTTTATTATCAAAATTAACCAAATATTTGGCACTTTCAAAATTCAGTACATTTGTCGCTACTAAATTTTGGTGTCTTTTGATATGTCGTTTAGTTTGAAACTTTTTAAATTTTGGTCATGTTTTTGTGAGAGATTTTCTAGAACTTCCAAATTCTAATAAGGTAGATATGGTAAGAATGTGTTTATTTTGCTATCCTACCAAAATTGGTAATATAAAAAAATAGCAGGGTTAAAAATGATAATGAAGTGAACTTAAGCTGTTGTTTGCACTGATGAAGTGATGAGCATTATACCCCTCCTTTTATTTTATTTTTTTTGAGGACGACCCCTTTTTTTCTGTCATCATAAAATTGACGAAGATACTGATAATTTCACATATCTGCTGCTAATCTTGATGGACATCGGTGCCATAAATAACCATCTTAATTATCCAAAAACTGCCATTTGTTCTTCCACCTTTGACCACATAAAACAGGAGCAGGCATTCCCACATGCAACAGCCGCACGGCTGCCTGAAGACTGATATGATTAGTGCCTGATCGAATGCACACAAATCTTTTTCATCAGCTACCATAGCATTAGCGTGGTCCTGATCTATGCTACTAACTTTTTAATGTGTTCTTGAACACAGTAGTACAGCACAGACAAGAAGAAAATAAACCTCCTAGGTTGCTGAATTCCAGTCATCTCAAAATATAATAACTTTTAGCTATTAATTTGAACACATAGTTGTCTAGATTCATAACTAAAAATGCTTATATTTTGGGATGGAGGGAGTAACAAAAACTGCAATACCACTCGTTACAATCTGAAATCCCCATTCTTGTCAAGCCTTAATTTCAATTTTTTTTCCCTTCAACACATACACAGCTTCTGGCATTATTCTTCCCTGCCTCTTCACAACCTGATCGAGCACTTACTGCTGCTACCGGAGTAGTACAAGTTTGGTAACGAGAGAAGAAATTCGAGCTGTTGCTGGTGTTCGTCGCTGCTCACACAGCATCTCTGCCTTTCCGGTTAGCCCAGTACAAACAGTGGTACGTACTGCTGCCTTTTGGTTTCTTGTTTTATGTGGCCCGAATTCTTTTTTACCCTCGCAGCAATTTCAAAGCTCCTTTTTACAATTTTTTCACAGTTTCTTGGCCGGTAGCGAACGCTTCTAGCTTTTTTTTCATCTCAATGGCGCAGTACACTCTGTACCATCTGCTATCTCCTACCCAAAAATATAAAAACCTTGAATCAGATGAAACGTTTTCTAGTGCAATATATTTGAATAAAGATATATTATACTAGAAAACATCGAGTCCATCCAAATACATTGTACTATAGAAATGTAGCATCCGGTTTTAAGTTTTTATATTTTTGAGATGGAGAGAGTAGTACTACGGCAGTGTTTAGTTCCTCCCAAATTCCCAACTTTTCATCACATCACATCACATCGAAAACTTTCCTACGCACATAAACTACTAACTTTTTCTCCAAACTACTAATTTTCTCCCACTTTTCAACTTTTACACCATCTAAACACAGCCTACGTAGGAGTACGTTGTGTTGCTTCAAATTTTACAGCTGTATCCCATTTCATATTTCTTGGCATGCTAGTGAACTTCTCTAGGGAGCATATTTGGTTCATTGGTTGTTGAGTAGTAGTACTACCACTATAATTTGGATTGCTAGCTACTCCCTCCGTTTTAAAATATTTGACACCGTTGACTTTTTAGCACATGTTTGACCGTTCGTCTTATTAAAAAAATTTGTGAAATATGTAAAACTATATGTGTACATGAAAGTATATTTAACGATAAATCAAATGATATGAAAAGAATAAATAATTACTTAAATTTTTTTGAATAAGACGAATGGTCAAACACGTACTAAAAAGTCAACGGTGTCAAACATTTTAAAATAGAGGGAATACATTATTTATAGAATTTCTTGCCAAGTTTTGTGGAGCTTGTAGTGGATGATTGTGTTAGCTACACTAAAATGTTTTTATTTTGTTAGGTGGAGACCAATTATATCTAGCTAGTAGTTTTTCCTGGTACCATTCCTTTTGGGGCCGGTCTGTGGATATAATTTTCGGACTCAGCATCATTGCATTTGATCAGTTCCTGGCCAGATCATCAGTTTAGCAGTTTCTCTAACACGTGTTTGTAGTGCACATGACATGATCAACCAAATTCGCTCATTTTTATGCCCTCTCTGGCGCATCTCCTGCGCCCATGTAGTTGCGAATCTATTCTTAACCTTAAGCAATTTTTAGCATGTCCTAGCTAAGCTAGAGTGTGAGATCTATATTATATTATTCCGGTATTATTTCGCATGTGCGGCCTTGTGCAATTGTGCACGCTGGTGGCGGCGTAAATCGTTTAGGGCCGTCCTAATAATTTGAAAGCCATGTGTCAAATATAAAAATTAAAAGTCTTATCTTTAGTAATACTAATTACATACCCCCTCCGTCCAAAAAAAAAAATAATCCTGAGTTTAAATCTGGATGGATATATATGTGTCCAGATTCAAATCTAGAATTAGTTTTTTTTTCAGGTTCAAATTTAGGATTGGTTTTTTTTAACGATATGTGTCAGGATTCAAACTCAATATTAGGATTTTTTTTTGATGAAGGGAGTAATAGAATAATAGAATAGGCTATATCTTATATTTACAATATAATTAAATTGCAGTTAGTGGCCTTCCAACCATGCCAGGAAAGCTAGTATCAATATAATGCTCCTTTATTTAATTAGCTAATTATATCCTGCTATCAAACGAACAGAAATTATTCGCAACCAATAATTACTAGCGCTATGTCAAGTAGCTTAATTACCCACCTAAATATGTATGACGATCTGACCAAGTAGAAGAAGAACCGTTGAAACAATTCAGCTTTTTCTTACTAAAAGAAAAAATAAAGCTGTAGCCATGCATGGTTACTATATCGAAGCTTGTCGGAATTAAAAAAAAAAACAGCTTGTTCTAGCCGATTGAGTGGAGAAAAACAGAGATTTGAGAAAATAGAATAAACAGATTCTAATTATATCGGAACATATTGCCTTGAATAATAGCTAGATACATACGGAGTGAAAGCCCTATACGGTTGCACAGCTCACACGTGTCTCTAGATATGGACGGACCTGCGCTAAATATAAATTTCGGTAGACACAACACATCAACAGCCTAATCAACTTGGCATATACTACTCCCTCCATTTTATAATGTAAATCATTCTAACATTTCTCACATTTATATTGGTGCTAATGAATCTAGACATATATATCTATCTAGATTTATTAGCATTAATATAAATATGAGAAATACTAGAATGACTTACATTGTAAAACGGAGGAAGAAGTAGTACGCTACTGTAAACAGCGTCGGTAAATCACCTTTCCAACCTACGCCGCCGTACGTCGGATCGACAATCTCGCCGACCCAATGATTTTGCCGGCCGTACAAGCCCTTGGACCTCACCGCCGGTGACAAAATGGTAAGTGCAATGCATGGTTAATTAGCCAGCCATGAGCTAGCAAATTCTACGCAACAAATCACCTGCTGCATATATATACACTCCAAAACCATCACCAATATACAGACGACAGGCCGGTTCAGGTTCAGGCCATATATATATATGCTCTCTAACCTGAAACTCGATCAATGCAAGAGTAGCATTGGTAGCTAAAACAATACAACATCTCGATCAAAATGTCATTATCTGAAAATAAAACAAATTGCAAATGCAAATGCAAATGCAGCACATGTTGTAGTGGATAGCTACTACCACTAGTGGCATGTACTAGTGCTACCCCGGCCTGCATGTACTTGCTACATGTGATGGATGGATCAAAGTAGGGGCAATAAGTGCGAGAGGAGGGGTTAGCCGTCTTGACGACGGCCCTTGTCGTCGAGCCCGTTTTCGGCACGCCTACACGAGCCCTAGGGGTGTCCATTTCCGGCCTCGCATGTGCCTTTTAACTCTTGCTCCAGTAACCTGATCATATTATGAATTCAGGGTGTGCAAGTCAAGAGAGGAGGAGAGAAATTCAATTCAATAGCTGATCCTGGCCCATGTACATGCATTGCATTGCATATATATGACTCTGTGCTAGCTGCTGCCATTCGATCGGTTTATCTTATCCATCAAGTGTGTTTGTGTGTGT